TCATCAGTTTATCTCACACATTAATACGGAAATTAGCAGCTAATTAACGCAGCGTGGTTTTCAGATTCCAAGCTTTTACGCATCAGGTAAATGGCAGGGATTTTACTCGGTCCAGGGAACGATGAAGTGCGTGGCAGGAACGCGCATCAGCGAGCACCGCTCGCTATTTCAGATGAATCGATTCCACCAATTACACGCAAACGCCGTGCAAAATCAGGCTTCTTTAAAATATTAATAAAATACTGGATACTCTACTGCGAGTATAGCAGTTTGCAAGGCATGAAGTATATGAACCGAGGAAAATGGTATGCAAGGTATTTGTAGCATCTGATTAGTAAATTCTTTGATCGTTAGGCAAGTGATATCAACATGATCAGACAAGTAGAATAGGTAAAAAACATTAAATGACTAGACAAGGGTAACTGGAGTGAACAAACGAGTGAAAGTAGTATTAATTCATGTTTGGTCAGACAAGTAGAATAAGCATGATTTTTTAGGCAAGAACTGGGGTGGTCAGACGAGTAGAATAAGCATGATAGTTTCAGGTAAGTGGAGCTGGGGTAGTCAGACAAGTAGAATAAGTATGATTTCTTCAGGCAAGGACTGAGGTGGTCAGACAAGTAGAATAGGTATGATCTCTTCAGGCAAGTAGAACTGGGGTGGTCAGACAAGTAGAATGAGTATGATTTCTTCAGGCAACTAGAACTGGGGTGGTCAGACGAGTAGAATAAGTATGATAACTTAAAATGTATCTTGAATGATCAGACAAGTGGAATAAGTACGATCTCTTCAGGCAACTAGAACTGGGGTGGTCAGACAAGTAGAATAAGTGTGATCTCTTCAGACAAGGAGAACTGGGGTGGTCAGACAAGTAAAATAAGTATGATCTCTTCACACAAGTAAAACTGGGGTGGTCAGACAAGTAAAATAAGTATGTTAACATTAAGTGGACCTTGAGTGATCAGACAAGTAGAATAAGTATGATAACTTTAAGTGGACCTTGAGTGATCAGACAAGTAGAATAAGTATGATAACTTTAAGTGGACCTTGAGTGATCAGACAAGTAGAATAAGTATAATCCCCTCAGGAAAGTTGAACTTGAGTGATCAGTTCACATTGACAGTGAGAAATCAAATAAAATTGCTATTAGTCCATCTGGTCAGACAACTAGAATGTGTCCAAATCCCAAAATGATCAGACAAGTAGTATTAACTAACCAAACCATAAATTCCACCAAACATCTTCATTTTCTAAGCATTCTTTAACAGTCACATTGTCCTTCCACTTCATATAATCAATTAAATATCAATTTCTCTCAAATCGATTGCATTTATAGTCTCACCAGATAATTCGAGTTTATGTCCCTGGCAAGGTACATTCTTTCTCGCGAGTAAAGCTCGAAGAAAATTCCTCTAAGCACGTTTCTCTTCGCAAGCTCAAAAACACACGGTCGTATATCAAGACGAATCTTACGAGCAAATCTTACGCTTCAGCCTCGGCTATAAAAACGTGTTGTTCCGCGAATCTGCCGATAAGAAAGACAAGGTTTATGGCGGATTAAAATTAAGAACACTTACAAATGGGTCTAGAAACGCGAGAAGAAACGACAGTAGGGCGCAATAAATTTTTGCGAAACGTTCAAGACGCGAGACGATGCGTCACCGCGTGGCCATGATTAAATATAAAACGACCCGTCGTGTCAGTTTTATAACAGGAAATCGGTAATAAACGGCTCTCTCATTTGCCCCGGGAAAAAACTGCCGGACTCCTTTTACGGTCGTTTCAAGCATCATTTTTTCTTTTATGAGAGCTTGCGTTGCGATTGGATGTGCTTAACGACGCCGGTACGCGTTGCGCGTTCATTAAAAAGCGAATTCGAGTACCTTTTTATTCGACAGCAGTATATCATTAATCGCTTTTCTTTCGTTGTTTTCAGAGTCCTACGGTTTTGCGGATACACCATAATTTTATTGCATATATTCTATTCCATGTACTCTACCTATGTGGCATACGCTAATACGCCGATAGCAACGTCGCAAGTCAAAGCTAGCCACATGTATAGTGATTTACGCTACCCCGGTAATTATATAGCCGTAGAAAAATGACCGTAAGATTTTCATTAGATTGCGAGGTGGGTGGTGTACATTTTTTATCCTTGACACAGAGATAACATTTCATGTTACGTCAATACCTCGGAGAAGAATTATTAATGGAATTTGTAATACGCTTCTGCACTTCTAATTTGGCGCATATCGAATTCTTCACGACCCGAATTCCTAATGTTCCGAATTCTCAATGACACGAATACCTCACGACCAGAATTCCTAACGTCTCGAGTTCCTCACACGTTCCGAATTCTTTACGTCCCGAATTCCTCACGCTCCGAATTCCTCACGTCCCGAATTCCAAACGTCCCGAATTCCTCACACGTCCCGAATTCTCAACGACTCGAATTCCTCACGTCCCCAATTCTCAGCGCCCCGAATTCTTCACGTCCCGAATTCCTAACGTCCCGAATTCCTCATGTCCCGAACTCCTCACACGTTCCAAATTCTCAACAACCCGAATTCCTCACGTCCCGAATTCTCAACGATCCGAATACCTCACATCACAAATTCTTCACGTCCCGAATTCTCAACGACCCGAATTCCTCACACGTCCCGAATTCCTAACGTCCCGAATTCCTCATGTTTCGAATTCCTAACGCCTCGAATTCCTCACACGTCCTGAATTCTCAACGTCTCGAATTCCTCATGTCCCCAATTCTCAGCGCCCTGAATTCTTCACGTCCCGAATTCCTAACGTCCCGAATTCCTCATGTCCCGAACTCCTCACACGTTCCAAATTCTCAACAACCCGAATTCCTCACGTCCCGAATTCTCAACGATCCGAATACCTCACATCACAAATTCTTCACGTCCCGAATTCTCAACGACCCGAGAATTCTTCACGTCCCGAATTCCTAACGTCCCGAATTCCTCATGTCCCGAACTCCTCACACGTTCCAAATTCTCAACAACCCGAATTCCTCACGTCCCGAATTCTCAACGATCCGAATACCTCACGTCCCGAATTCTCAACGATCCGAAT